CCACGTACATTCCCGTACAATGACCTAGAGAAAACGTAAATACGTATGAGAAAGTGTGAGAGAACGCGTAAGTGAATGACAACCAAGCCCCGCCAAACCCACCCACGTGCATTCCTGTACAGCTGAAGAAAACGTAAAAACGTATGAGAAAGTGAGAGAGAAAGAGTAAGTGAATGTGAATCACGCCCCACCAAAGTCACTCATGCGCATTCCCGTACAGTGACCTGAAGAAGACGTAACAACATGAAAAAGTGAGAGAGAAAACGTAAGTGTATGTGATCCACGCCCCACCAAACCCACCCTTGTGCATTCCCGTACAGCGACCTGAGGAAAACGTAAAAAACGTCTGAGAAGGTGAGAGAGAAAACGTAGGTAATGTGCATCACGACACCTAACTAACCCATGCCCAACCAACTACCCGTGCGCATTCCCATACAGCAACCTGTAGAGTTATATATATATATATATATATATATATATATATATATATATATATCCATGTAATAGCATAAACAACATCTCTTTATGCCCTGCCAGAACCACTCGCGCATGCTACCCCACAAACTGTAACAACACACTGTCTACCTACCAAACCCAGCCGTGATGTGGATGGTGAGGATGTCCTTCTTGGAGCGGTCTGGCTCTGTGGGGCTGCTGTCGTACTGTCCCAAAGTGCGCTGTATCTCCAACGAACACCACGTCGACGCAAACGCAGCTTTCTGCACGTCGAGCGAGTGCAGTGTGTAGTAGAAGGTGAGTGTGTGTGGCAATGGATGATTCCAAGTGTGTAAGGTATTGGGTGAGTGTGTGTGGTAATGGATGATTCCGAGTGTGTGTATTCAGACAACCGATAGCCTATGAGAATGAATGAGAGCTCAGTGAAGATCGTGAGAACACATCTTATGTATTCCTGTACTTGTGCTGGTAAGTGGACAAGGTGTGTATTTGCATGTATGTGTGTGTACATGTATGTGCATGTCTTTGTATATGCGAATATGTATAAATAAATGTGTGTGCGCGTGTGTGTGTGTGTGTGTATGCGTGTATATGTGTGTGTATTGGATCGCACTTCTCGCTTGACGACAAACAGCTCGTCACATAGCTTGGTTTGCCACACACTTACGCATTACCATCACCTGGAGCACCATTCACAACTACCCTGGTACTAGAAGTCCATACACCGATATGTGAGCGAATTGATAAGCATGAGGTGATGCGGTCGTGTTTTCCGTGTAGATGCTGCGTTTAGCTCTGAATTACGCTTGCTAGAGCCATCTTATAGAGCTACCAACGGTCCGATGAGAATACACATCCTGCCTGTACACTTTTATACAACAAATCTAGGATGGAAAATAAGGCCACACAACATACATGTAGATAACATAGGCATACCGAAACGTAGACAACATGAGCGTAGATTCATATTGTCCTTATACATGTAGACAACACGAGTGTACCTACATGTAGACAGTACTTAACACGAGTGTACCAACACGTAGACAGTAGTTAACACGAGTGTACCTTCATGTAGACAGTAGTTAACACGAGTGTAACTGCACATAATCAGTAGTTAACACGAGTGTACCTACATGTAGACAGTAGATAACACAGGTGTACCTACATGTAGACAGTAGTTAACACGAGTGTACCTACATGTAGACAGTAGTTAACATGAGTGTACCTACATGTAGACAGTAGTTAACACGAGTGTACCTACATGTAGACATTAGTTAACACGAGTGTACCTACATGTAGACAGTAGTTAGCACGAGTGCACCTACACGTAGACAGTCGTTAACACGCGAGCACCTTCATATTGTCCATATACGTGCTCTGGCTCTGAGGCCCTTCCTTCTCTTCCACCAGCCACAGCGCAATCAACGCATCTCCCGCAAACGCCACGATGTCGCCACCGTACTGGTGTATGCACATAATCAACTGACCGAAGTACGTGTTGAGATGGTTCTAAAACAGGAGTGCAGGATGATAATACAACCATGACATAAGTACACAAACGCACGGGATGAAGTGGTCGATGTAGCTTCCCAACGACAAACAGATGTGGTGAAAATGTTTTATCAGCAGGTTAGGTGTAGGTAACTCATGTACCAAGTTCAAAAGGGACTGAAAGACTAAATACACTCCGAATATGCAGAGAGAACCGCTGAGCTCATACACATTCCGTGACCATGGACAAGCACCAGTTACACGGCCACTGCAGCACACTGATGGCCTATGGGGGACACTTACGAACCTACACTTGTACATATTTATAGACTTACTATTGACCTAAACAGATACATGTTTATACACCTACTATTGACTTAAACATATACAAGTTATACACTTACTATTCACCTAAACATATACATAGTTATAAGCTTGCTATTAACCTATTTATATATATATATAGCTATACACCTACTATTTACCTAAACATATACATATTTATATACTTTCTATTGACCTGAACCTATACAAGTTATACACTTACTATTCACCTAAACATATACATAGTTATAAGCTTACTATTAACCTATTTATTTAAATATACAGTTATACACTTGCCATTTACCTAAACATATACACGTTATACACTTACTATTGACCTAAACGTATACATAGTTATACACTTACTATTAACCTAAACTTATACAAAGTTATACGCTTACTATTAACCTATTTATATATACATAGTTATTTACTTTCTATCAACCTAAACTTATACATAGTTATACGCTTACTATTCAACTAAACATATCCATAGTTATTAGCCTAAACACACACATAGTTATACACTTACTATCAACCTAAACATACACAGTCATGTATGTGCAAGCAGAGATGCAATGGACCGAGCCTACACATATCTATGAACTATCAAATACTCACAGCAGAGAAGCCGTCCTGAACAGCTTGCATTCAACATTCAGATATAACGCGCAACTAATCACTACAGACAATGTATACGCGAGTGTGAGTGTGGGTGTGAATGTGAGTGCGAGTGTGGGTGTGGGTGTGGGTGTGAGTGTGAATGTGAGTGTGAGTGCGAGTGTGAGTGTGAGTGTGAGTGTGAGTGTGAGTGTGAGTGTGAGTGTGAGTGTGTGAGTATGAGTGTAAGTTTATGGGGTGGGGTGTAGACGACACACCTGCAATTCCTCGATTCCGTCGTTTTTGGCGGCAAGTCGTGAACTGGAGAGAAAGAAGGGCACGAGACAGTCAATCGAATTACTAAAACAAGATATTGACAGATGCAAAGCTAGGCCGAAACCCAATCAACGAGTGCAATACAATACCACAAGCGGATGGCAATAGCCTTAACCCTTTCTATTAGAAAACCATGCAACCACAACTGATCTATCAAAAAACCATGCAACAACAACTGATCTATTAAAAAACCATGCAACAACAACTGATCTATTAAAAAACCATGCAACAACAACTGATGCTGTCCCTGAGCAAGTGGTTCTACACGGCTTAGTTAAGAAGCCGAATTCACCCTCGAACATAACTAGCTACTTGGTCACAATAACTCTTAGTTAAGAAGTCAAATTCACCTTCGAACATAACTAGGTACTTGGTCACAATAACTCTTAGTTCATAAGCCGGATTCACCTTCGAACATAACTAGGTACTTGGTCACAATAACTCTTAATTCAGAAGCCGAATTCACCTTCGAACATATCTAGTTACTTGGTCACAATAACTCTGCTGATCGTATCGCGTGCCCGACAATCGAGATCAGCATGTGTCACCATCACAGAAGACGATACTCGCAAGCACGAGATAGTATGCCATCATGCACAAACGTACCACAATCCACGACCTAGGTGGTTGTTAATCACGCTTTACTGCAGATGACAAGACACCCTCAGTGCATGAATGACAAGACAACCTAGAATGACAAGACAACCTCAAGTGCATGAATGACAAGACACCCTCAGTGCATGAAGCCATGACCTAGGTGGTTGTTAAACACGCTTTACTGCAGATGACAAGACAACCTCAGTGCATGAATGACAAGACACCCTCCGTGCATGAATGACAAGACACCCTCCGTGCATGAATGACAAGACACCCTCCGTGCATGAATGACAAGACACCCTCAGTGCATGAAGCCATGACCTAGGCGGTTGTTAAACACGCTTTACTGCAGAAGACAAGACAACCACCGTGCATGGCACACGCGTATACACACTTGACATCACATAGGTGAACGCGCACACCTCCTGAGCTTAACGGGTGCTCTAGTGATAAGATGTGAATCTGTACCAACACATGCCCATACGCAGATAACTGTGGTAGGCGCAATGGCACCTGAACATAGTCGGACATGCAATGTACACAATCCGTACATACACTGCACACTTGCACACATGCACACATCAGCATTCGCAACCAATCAGAGTTCGGATGTCTAGCCTATCTACCCGCATACACATACACGGAGAGGTTGTCCGTACCTGAGTTTGGTAAAACCAGAGACATCCACCACAGATATGACTCCCAAGAACTTGTCTTCGGCAATGCTGTCTGGTCGTTTGGGCAGACGCTTCAACCTCCTGAGCAGATACCGTGGCACGTACGAGGACAACACCCTCAGCTTGCCTGAAGATACACCACACGCAGCAAAGAAGCAATGCACATGGACAGCACTGTCAGTAAGAGTTGGGTGCAAAGATACATGGGATAGCAACACAATAGTGATCGCTACATAAGCTTGTACGTACAAGCTCAACAGCCACAGATAACAACCGGTAAACACATTCACGTACAAGCTCAACAGCCACAGACAACAACCGGTAAACACATCCACGTACAAGCTCAACAACAACAACCTGCAAATACATTCACGTACAAGCTCGTATGTAGCATAGCAGATGCACCTGCACACACCAAGGCATCGTACATACCAAAGGGGTCCTTTATGCCAAAGCTGATATCGAAATTAGCCGAGTGCTGAGTGCTATCTACGGTGTTCACATTCATATGGCCCGTGCCTTGTGAGATTCTGCAGACCCACGGCATGAGAGAGTGAGTAAGACATTGAAGTGTTGGTACAGCATTTCAGGTGTGTGATTGAGACGTTGGAGCTTAGTACGACAATAGAGTGTTGTACGACAATAGAGTGTTGTACGACAACAGAGTCTTGTACGACAATAGAGTGCTGTACTTGTACGACAATAGAGTGTTGTACTTGTACGACAATAGAGTATTGTACGACAATAGAGTGCTGTACGACAATAGAGTGTTGTACGACAATAGAGTGTTGTACGACAATAGAGCGTTGTACGACAATAGAGCGTTGTACGACAATAGAGTGTTGTACGACAATAGAGTGTTGTACGACAATAGAGTGTTGTACGACAATAGAGTGTTGTACTTGTACGACAATAGAATGTTGTACGACAATAGTGTTGTACGACAATATAATGTTGGTATGACATCTATAGCAATTGGATGTGATGTGATGAGTGTGCACCAAATGCTACTGACGTTCGTCCATTTCGCATTGTCTGTGTGTGATTGAAGGCTGTGTGGTGCACAATACCTTTGCAACCATGCCATTCATTTATATACTTGAACCTGTAAGTAGTTTGGTACCTGGACATTAGATCGGCACCATGCAATATCGTATGACTTGTGCCATGTAGAGTAGTGTGCAACTCCGCGTGTAGGGCCTTGTTAAGCAATAGGTACTCAGAGGTGTTGTCCAGAAATCAGGACCAGCACAGGCCAATTATTTTGCCCAGCCTCTAAATGAAATTCAAGTAGGCTTTCTCCTTTACAAACTCATGTACACGCATGTATGGGCAGTACAAACTCAGTATACGCATGTATAGGCAGTACAAACTGAGATATATGCATGTATGGGCAGTACAAACTCAAATATACGCATGTATGGGTTGTACAAACTCAGATATACGCATGTATGGTTAGTACAAACTCAGATATACGCATGTATGGGTAGTACAAACTCAGATATACGCATGTATGGGCAGTACAAACTTAGATGTACACATGTATGGGCAGTACAAACTCAGATATACGCATGTATGGGCAGTACAAACTCAGATGTACACATGTATGGGCAGTACAAACTCAGATATACGCATGTGTGGGTAGTAGAGAGGAGAAAAACACGCATAGGAAAACTACAGCTTTGACAGGGTCATGTGACAAACAAGATATTCACACCGCAGAGATACAACGGACACATCAGTGGGCACTAAACACGCAACAGGCGACTAGTACAACACGCGCACAGATACGAAACAGATGCACACAAGAGCCTCCAAACGACATTCAAGTACTCTTTCTTTTTTAGCACAACACGTGCACAGATACCAAACAGATACACACAAGAGCCTCCAGACGACATTCAAGTACTCTTTCTTTTTTAGCACAACACGTGCACAGATACCAAACAGATGCACACAAGAACC